ACCATGAATTTTCCTATGCCATATGTGGCCTCTCTGCCAAAGGCTAGTCCAGCTCTAGATTCTGTAAGTATTGCTATAACAGGATTAAACCCTCTTATGGGAATCCTTACAGAATCTATCAGAGTGGGGAAAGATAGAAAGAAGACATTTGGGTGTTTATTTGTATTACTCAACTTACATCTATTCATTTAGTGCAGGGGTAGGCAACCTTGGCTCTTTTATGATTAGTGGACTTCAACTCCCAGAATTCCTGAGCCAGCATGGCTAAGCATGGCTGACTCAGGAATTCTGGGAGTTGAAGTCCACGAGTCATAAAAGAGCCAAGGTTGCCTACCCCTGGTTTAGTGACTCTCTGAAGTTACAACGGCACTGGAAAAATGTACAACTTATGACCAGTTGTCTACATTTGACAACCAACATAGCATCCCCATGGCCACGTGATCAAAATTCGGGCGCTTGGCAACCGGCGTGTAATTTAGGACCAGTTGCTCTGCCCTAGGCTCATGTGATCACCGTTTCTCATCTTCCCAGCTGGTTTCCAACAAACAAATTCTATGGGGGGGGGACCCAGCATCGCTTAATGACTGCATAACCAGCTTGCAGTGGTTCGCTTAACAACTACGGCAAAAAGATTGCCAAATGGGGCACAGCAACAGAAATTTGGGGCTTAGTCGCGGTCGTTAAGTCAAAGACTACCTGTGCACAGAAGCAAACACCTGCTCACAATGTTATGCACAGCATCCAGAGTCCCCTGGTTGTTTTAATCAACTTTCAGGAGGTAAGTCAATACAAAAAAAAATGAGTCAAACAAAGCTGTGGGCATGTTTCATTCAATCCTAATCTTAGAGAAGGCTGGGGGGGAAAAAGGGGGGCGGGAGAAAGACCTTGAGAAACAATCTTTGGGCTACTGAGAACTGTTGACTGTATGCAAGGAGATTTCTTTTCACCCCTGCTTAAAATCCTGCAGAACTGGGCAATAGTTTGTCGTGCCAAGCTGCAGTGATACATGTGAAGAGGTCACTTCTTTGCACACACACACACAAAAAAAACCACACACCCAGCCTGCAGGAAATACAGATGGAAAGGGATTACGCATCCGCATGCACACTTAAGAAGAAAAAATGTATCAGCATCTTTAGCCACATACCTTCATGAGCACCAACCTAGACTGAAAATTAACTCACTCTCTACGAAAGCAAACCAGTCATTCCGATTCCTCAAATTCAACCTTTGCTGCACCAGCAATGCTTTGCATTCTTATGGATGACATTCAATGGTTGTTTTGTTGTGATGGAGTAGAGTACAGTGCTGTCGGTATCAGTACAAACCGTGCCAATCATCCTGTAAAAGGTATCCACCCCCCCATTTATAAGCTTGTGAAGAGATGCATTTCAGCCCTGGCCGTGGGAAAAATGCAAAGAACACAGAGCTACGTTGGTGTTATTGTTTTTAAATTGTTCTCCCAAATGTTCTGGGAGATTGTGTGAGAAATCATACTTTCCTTCCCTTTGGTCACTATGCAACCAAAGAGGAAAGACAAAAAAAAAAAAATAGGTTGAGGATTGTCATGGGAAGGATAGATATAGCACATTGGCTACAGAACTGGTCTTTAGTTATGAGCCGGGCAACTGTTTCATGGCACAATTTTCTAAAAATCATTGACAAATTTCTCTTTTATTCTCCACCGAGTACACCTACCAGCTGTGAGATTCTCATTGCCACAGAGGTGTTTGGGAAATGTGCAAAGAAGAATAGCAATGTATCAAATACTTCTTTTTAGCCCCTAGTCTTTTCTTCATCTAAAGCAGTGGTTCTCAACCTTTTTAATGCCGTGACACCCCCCCCAAACGGTCGTAAGTCGAGGACTACTCAACTGGTGCAGCACCGTTTGCAGAATGGGACTTTTGGCGGGCTCAGCAGGGCAGAGACAGCCTGGACAATTCCTATTGGCTTTTGAAAGCCAATAGAATTAGACTCTATTCAAGAGAGTCTATTCTATTGGCTTTCAAAAGCCAATAGAATAAAAGGGAGTAGCACAGCTAAAGAAAAGGGGAAAAAAATGGCGGACTGCGTTGTTTGGCGACCCCCGTGAAATGGTTGTTCGACCCCAAATGGGGTTCCGATCCACAGGTTGAGAACCACTGATCTAAAGCCAGTCTTTTCGAAGGACCACGGATGCTTGCACAAAATTAAAGCAAATTAAAATACACTAAAGACTTCCTCTTTTGTAAACCTGACCAGCCCACCTCTCAAGGTTTCAGCATCTGGAAAAAATGGACATCTGTGTCAGCTTTCTCTAACCTGACATCTCTCCAAATAAACTGGGGCTGCAACACCCAGAATTCTTAGCAATGATGGGTAGGCTAGGCTAGGGGACTTTGGGAACCGTAGTCTCCGCATATGTACAGCGTACGTTAACATACTCTTGCTATACTTCATATCCAGCTCTGGGTTTTAGCCACATTTTCTTCTTTCTTATGAAAGGGTTGATCAAAAGATAACATTATAGACTCTTGGTGACCAATTGCAGATTTTCCTATAAAGCTAAAAGCCAAATTTATAAAGCCAATTTGGAAAACTTACCATGCCAGAAACAAATAATGGAATAACGGAGTTGGATGGGAACCTTAGAGGTCTTCCAGTCCAACCCCCTGCTCAAGCAGGAGACCCTATAGTACCATTTCATATGGATGGTTGTCCAATCTCTTCTTAAAATTCTCCAGTATTCTAATACCCACAACTTTTGGAGGTAAGCCGTTCCACTGATTAACTGTTCTAATTGTCAGAAAACAATGTGAATCTTACATCTGATGCTGTTTTGGTTGAAATTATATAACACAGCAGATACGATTCTTCCTGCACTATTTTCTCAGCCCCTTTGCTAAAATGGCAAAGAAAAGAGAAAGAGAACTTTTTTTTTGGTGGACATCTGGCAAAACTACACACTACCTACAATGATATGTCAAAAGCACTTGCCTATAATCCAGGTGAAAAATAATGCATGGGTATTAATTCTCAAGAGGAACGAAAGAACAGTCTGAATATCACAGTTAGAAATTAATAAGTGAATGCAAGTGGTTTATTTACAAAAGCTGTTTTTAAGGACCAGTTCCCTATCGGCAAACCAAGAGAACTGTCTTTTCACTTTCTATATGTTAAAGAGTTATAAAATAGCCCCAAGACAGGAGAAACTCATGGTTTGCCAACCACCTGTTCAGCAGGCAGAACTGAACCCATAGATCTAAAAATTCTATGCCATCGCAATGGGAATGTGGTAAATCTCCTGCATCCAGCTCTTTTCAGATCACAAGACTTACAGATCTCTTTAAAGAGCCTCCAAACACTAGACCCTGACCATGGGTAGTTCAATCCTCTGTAACCAGCTGCGATTCACAGATTTATCTGCACTTCCTGCAGGGAGCTACATGGAGCAACTCTGTCTTGTCACAGGTTTTGGGTTCCCAAGCTGAAGACAGAAGGGGGCAGATCTCCATACTTGGCAGTCCCTCCAGGAAGGAGCAAACAAAAAGGTCCTGGCAACTTAACTACGGAGTTGTGTTTATTTATTTCAATTATTGATATGTCAAACTGCTTGAACAACTTGGAATCTGGAATGATAGGTCATTTGATCCTAACCCTCCTCCTCTTTGCTGTTGCTCACTGTTTACTGTTACCCTTTCTAAATATGCAGACTGTGACCAGATTTGGGAGATAAATAGCAAAATCCCCATTCTCCTTTGGTATATTAATCTACGCTTCCGAGAGGCCGTTTGGATTGGGTGTTGAAGAGATGGCCAAGCAAATGGACAGTATTGCCTTCCTCAAATTGACGTTCTCCAGAAATCCCAGATGGTCCATCCCCAACTACCATGACTATGGTGTTATGGGAGCTGTAATGCACTACATCTGGAAGGCAACTGGGGAGGGAAGACTATTTGAAACCCAACCAAGAGAGATCCCATCTTTACATAGGATCTCCATCCTTTCTTTCTCAAGACAAGAGTCCATGCCATCAGCAATCTCATTCACAGAGCCTACAAGCCAACTGCATTAGTATCAGTAATTTTTTTTTTACATCCAGAACATGGATCAATCAATCATGAAATAATAAGGACCTTCCTTCTGGAAGGGGAAGAGGTGTTTTGTTATGCTTCACCAAGATGATCAAGGTCCTCTCCAAATTCCTTTCCAAGGTCCTCTCCACTCATCCTGTTTCCCCTTCTTTAAATTATAGGTACAGGATACAAATACAGCCCTTCCTCATTTTAGTAAAAATGCATCCTCAGATATCATGACACAGTCCACTCGTAGGCAAATGCACAGTCTTCATATTAATTATTTCACTGTAACTATTACCTCTGTACATTGTAATGAAAAAGTAGAGTATAACGGTTATGGCAAAATAAAGATTAAGGAGCTGGTAGTGGAAAACCTATCCTTTTAATATATTTCAGAACAGAGCTGGAAGGGACCTTGGAGGTCTTCTAGTCCAACCCCTGCTCAAACAGAAAACCATATACCATTTCAGACAAATGGCTTTTTACCTTTTTAACCTAGTTTTTACCTCTCAGCACAATAGGCTAGCTGTCAAGAAACAACTGACAGGTAGCAGACAGGGACATCAAAATAAGTTAGAAATATTTCAGACCTATAACCCACGTACAGGTGGATAAGCCCTGTTGCTTTCAGTGCATAGGTCTTCTGCGCAATTGTATTATCAGAATTACTGAAAAATAAAATGAAAAGATACATTCTCGACTACAAAAATTCCTTTCATATTTACATTTGCAATTCTGCTCTTTCATATTTACAGTGCAATTCTAATGAGTGCACTTGTACTGGATCACAGTTATTTTTTATTTTTTATTTTTTTTGTCCAATAACATGGGTTTCTGTTTCAGCTTAAAAATACCTACACGTGGACATTTTAAAACCCACCTATTTTGACACTTACACAATAAAACAACTTTTTTGCCATTCAACGGTAAAACTACACTTACCCAACAGTAAATCGCACTGAGTCTAACAGAATTTACTTCCATATAAATAGCACAGATTTGCAGCTGCTTTCTGCAGAAGAAAAAAAAAGAAACAGGAATAATCAGGGCTGGGAGGGAAACGACTGTGATCTATAATATAATTCAGTTTTTTGAGAATACTTTTTGAAATTCTGTACTGGGGTCAAAGCTGGCTTTTCACAACCTAAACCAGCATGCTGGTTGAGGTGGTGTGGGAGTTGTATTAACCAGAAGACCACACATATATAGAAAGTTTCCACATTTTGATGACAGCTTCTGAGAAACTACGTCACACCTTTTTCTCCATCAATACCCCTAATCCAAGCACAGTTAAAGAGAAATGACCCCTGTTTTGTTATTCCTCTTTTTTTTCCTTTTCTCCATCTCAAAACAAAGCAGCTTGAGGGCATATCTGGTCTGAGAAAACATGGCTATAATGTACTCCAGCTGTGATTTTCTACTTAGAAGTTCCAGTTTCTAACCAAACTGGAGTAAATGATGCCCCCCCCCCCAGCCTACTTGAAATAGAAAAAGACTCTATTGTGACCTTGTCGGTATGACTGGCAAATTGAGAGAGAAGAAGGCGATGTGCACCCTTGGAGGAGTAGAAACTAGACAAATGCAATTGGACAATGATAATTTTGAACTTATTAGGTCTGAATATTCCAACTTTGCAAAAAACCACCGCACTAGGAACTGCCTATATACTCAGATGTTACCTTAACAGCTCTTAGGTCCTTGGTTAGGTGCCAGAGGTGGCACTCAGAGCCCTCTCTCTGGGCATGCATGCCATTGCCCCAGTCCTAGGCCTTCAGCTGGGTTTTGTAAAACCTTTTTGCTTTAGGCCTCCGCTGCCGTGTACAAAAAAAAAAAGGTGCAATCAGTCAATTTCAACTTCTCGCGGGGAAAAAAAAGATCTTGCAAAGTTGGAATTGATCGATTGAACTTTTTAGTCCCAGTCTGTTACCACCGCAGCCATGCCCACCCAACGGGCCACACCCACCCGGCACCCGACGAGGCATAAGTGAGTTTTGGGTTGCAGTTTGGGCACTTGGTCTCTAAAAGGTTCGCCATCACTGACCTAAACTGTTACGTCTTTACTGGGCTTGAACTGTTAGGATTTGAACTGTTAAGTTATTAACAGACATCACTACTGTGGAAAAGGAAAAAAGTCTGGCTTATTGATATTGCAATACCAGGTGATGCACAAATGGAGGAGAAATAGCTAGAAAAAAAAACAAAATACCATGATTTGCAAATTGAAGTTGAGCAATTATGAAGAAATCAATGGTTGTACCAAGAGTAATAGGAGCCCTTGGAACAATACCCAAAGAGCTGCCTGGATACATGGAAACTCTAAACTTATTAGACCTGAATATTCTGACATTCCAAAAAACAACAACAAAAAACCCACCCTACTAGGAACTGCCTATATACTCAGACGCTACCTTAATAGCTCTTAGGTGCTTAGTTAGGACTTGAAGTGTTAAGTTTTTACCAGTCCCAGACTGTGAATCAAAATAATAATGATGATGATGATGATTCTTATCTGCCACAATATATGTAATACCATCAAACTTCCACAACTGCCTATCCCAGGTCCTTGGTAAGGACTCAATACGTAGACAAAAATGCCAAACCCAGTCTGAACACCAGGCTGACTGTGTGACCAACTATAACACCAATAATGTAAATGAGGGGTCCTTGGTGCTCTCTGAACTTGTTTCTTGCAGATGTTTCATGACCCTAACTAGGTAACATGATCAGTGCTAATAAGGAGTGTGTTTATATGACAACAAACCGCACTCCTTACTAACCCTGATGATGATACTTAGTTAGGGTCATGAACCGTCTGCAAGAAAAGAAGCAAGCTCAGAGAGCCCCAAGGACCCCTCATTTCAACCCTGAGCAACAAATATTCTCCTTAATATATATCCCTATACACAGTGTTTTTGTAAAAAAAAAAAAAAAAAAAAAAAGGTGCCGGAACTCACACACATCATACAACCCGCCTTGCCTACCCTACAAGGTTTCATCCCAAAAAGGTGCTGGAACTCTGTTCTGGGCGTTCTATGAGAAAAAAAGCCCTGCCTATACATATCTACATACATATACACATATATATACACACACCTGTACATATACATACAAATATACAAATATGTAGCTATACACACACACACACACACACATATATATACCTATACATACACACATACACATATATACCTATTCATACATATATATACATATACACTCTCCCACAGACCAGCATTAACCCTGACGATGTCAGAAGTATCTGACGAAAGCTTGGTGATCGGTGATGGTATTAAACTTTTATAGTTTATTATATTCCTGGTGTTCACATTTTATTGGTAATTGACTATGGATTCACCCAGGAATCACATTTTTATTTTCACTATTCTTATTAATAACATATACATTTATACATATATTTGTTTTCTGAGGTACATGTGTGTGTGTGTGTGTGTGTGTGTGTATTTGTTTGTTTTCTGAGGTTTTCGCGGGTGTTTGTATGTAGGTCTTTGGTTATTCGGGTTTTCTCCCGCATAAAATTGGAAGTGTCTTGGCTTCCAATTTGTGTCTTGCCAAGACACTTCCAATTTTACGTGGGAGAAAACCCTAATAACCAAGACCTATATATGTGTCTGTGTGTGTGTGTGTGTATGTATATATACATACATACATATGTATACACAAACACACAACATATATCTCCTGCCCTTTCGTCTACGGGGAGAAAAACACTGAAACCATGACACAGCCAGAAATTTCCGTCGGATGGAAGGCAGGTGCTTTAGGGAGGTCTCCCAGGTGAAGAAGTACTTCTAGGCACAAGCCGGGGCCACAGCAGCAGCAACCGCCACACAACCACAATAGCAGCTTGGAAGTGGCTGCCGGGCGCGGTGTGTGTGTGTGTGTGTGTGATCCCGGTCCAGCCCGGTTCTCTCCCCACTTTTGAAGCCCACCCACCCGGAGGGGGCAGAGGAGGCGTTTCAGGATGCCCACCTGCCAAGGGCGGCAGCAGCACCTTAGCAGCGAAGCCCCCGCGGCTTCGCAGCGCCACATGGAGCCAGAAGGGAGCCTTCCCCCCCCCAGTCCCTTCCTGCGCCCCAGGCCTTCCATCAGCTTCCCACCCCCCACCCCCGGCTTCCAGGGCCCCTCCATCCCGCCAACGTGGGCGAACCCACCTTGCCTGGCCCTCCCGGAAGGGGAGAGCGGCCCGTGGGAGCCACGCATCCCCGCCTTCAGGCTCTCCCGGCGGGGCATCCTTGCTCCGGGGCCGAACCGAGATTGCCCGGCTGGAGGAGGCGGATTGAGGAAGATGGTGTGTGTGGGGGGGAGAAAGGACCCTCCTCCTCTCTCTCCTCTCTCTCCCCTCTCTCTATCTCCCTCTCCCTAAGCCGAGTCTCGATGGTTCCTTCCTCTTCTCTCTCTCCTTTCAACAGAGGGGAGAAAGGGGGTGGGGGGAGCAAAGGCGGCTCGCAGCCCAGCTTTGATCCTTCCTTTTATTCTGTCTAAAATTGGCCCCTCTCGCTCCCTGTAGCAAGACGAAGAGAAGGGGGAGGGGAATGCCCCTGCATCGGGCCTGCATCCTGCAAAGAGGAAGGGCCATCCCACAAAAGCCCCCCCCCTCCCGAACCCTCGTGTCGGTTGGTGAGGGGGGGAGTTTAAAAAAAAAAAAGCGGGGTCTTACCTGAGAGGTATGGGGGGGGCTCTCTCCACCTCCGCCTCGCCCTTTTGAGGAGCCGCTCACTCCTCCCGCCCCCTCCCCTCTCGGAGGGAGAGCGAAGAGAGAACAAGGCAGCCGAGCATGGACGGTGCAACCTAACCTCGCTCGGACGCCTTCAAGCCACGCCTACCACGCTTCCTAAGCTATGGCTCGCCGCCGAAGAGGCCCATGAGGTTCGGAAGCGGCGGCGGCGTGCGGGAAGGGGGGGGGGTGAAGCAAGCAAGCAGGTTAGGTTGAGAGGCCTTCCAGGAAGTCTCTCGCCCGCTCGCTGCGGAATATGGAGGGGGAAGCGAGAGGGGGGCCTTCCCTAGAAGAAGCTGTCTAAATAGGCGCCTGATTTCCGCTTCCTCCATGGCAAAGGCTCATTAGCAGCGGACGCGATTGGCCTGCGGGAAGTTGCGTTTCCCCGGCTCTCATGCCCGCGCAATCAGGCAGTGGGTTAGCTACCTAGGCGAGGAAGCCATCTTGAATCGCCTGCTTTTATTACAGGACCGGGAATGAATGGGGGGTCAAGGCCGGGCTGGCCGGAAGCTGCGCTCCGGAGTGACTCCGGCGCTTTTAGACGCCTTTCGGAGCCGGGCCGGGCCCCATTATACAGTTGGTCCTCGTCTTACGACCGCAATTGAGCTCAAAATTTCTGTTGCTAAGCAAGGCAGTTAAATTAACTTTGCCCCATTTTACGACCCTCCTTGGCACAGTTGTTAAGTGAATCACTGCAGTTGTTAAGTTAGTAACTCGGTTGTTAAGTAAATCCAGCTTTCCCCATTGACTTTGCTTGTCAAAAGGGGATCAAGTGACCCCGAGGACACAGCAAACGTCATATCTATGAATCAGTTGCCAGTTTTGATTAACTGACCATGGGGATGCTGCAGTGGTCGTTAAGTGTGAAAAATGAATCATAGGTCACTTTGAATGGTCACTTAGTTAACTGTTGTTAAGTCGAGGACTACCTGTACCAGGCAGGAAAGCCGCTTCTGAGGTTTTGAAGAGACGTGCAAGGTGGAATTTCAGCTGTTCTTGGTGCCCTGACCTGATGAATGAATTGGGCGCAAGAATCTGAGTGACCCGTTCACACGACCAGGCGGAAAAAGGGATTCGGCTTACAGAGTTCCACATGGGAATTCCGTCCCCGCATTTGAGTCATGTCGTATCTGCATTGTACACCCAGAAAATAAGTTTTCATAGCTTCTACAGGTAGTCCTTGACTTAACAACAGTTCGCTTAGTGACCAGTTACAATGGCACTGAAAAAAAGTGACTATGACGGTTTTTCCACACTTCACGATTGTTGCAGCATCTCCATGGTCATGTGATCAAAATTGAGACGCTTGGTCACTGACTCAAATTTATGACAGTTGCAGCGTCATGTAATCATCTTTTGTAACCTCCTGACAAGCAAAGTCAATAGGGAAGCCAGATTCACTTAACAACTGTGTTACCTTAACTTAAGTGCAGTGATTCACTTAACAACTGTGGCAAGAAAGGTCATAAAATGGGGCAAAACTCACTTAACTCTCTCACTTAGCAACCAAAATTTTGGGCTCAATTGTGGATGCAAATCAAGGACTTCCGGTATTTTGTGTGACATTAATAGAACTTATTTTTGAGCGGAGATGGTAGAGACCAAGACTGAATCAGAAAGACATTCACAATTTTTGACTGGCACAATACCAAGTGTTACAACTGAGATACATTTGTTCTTGTAAACTCAAATTGGGAATGAAACTAAAGAATCATGGCATATCACACACTCAAACCCATTATTTGTAATATTATATTTTATTCTCATGGTATCTATGTGATTGCTAGTTGAAAATAATTTGAGGGCACTTAATCATCATTAAAATAATGTGTTTTAAAACTTATAATTGTCTGTGCTTGCTGTGCACTACATCTGCAAGTTTGTTTTTTAAAAAACAGCCCATTATTTACATATATATATATATATATATATATATATATATATATATATATATATATATATATATATATATGGTAGCTACAATTTTTTAAAAGTCAACTGCTTTCCTGGAACAAATCCTGGAATTTAGAGTTTAGAAAAGGCTTACTCTGTGAGGTTGGCTAGAACGCAACTTCTAAAACATACATCTGTGACTGTTAGTAGAAGGACAAAAAAAGCTTCCCCGCTTTCAGAACTAAAATTGCTGTCTGCAAAAATTCTATTTAAAATGATACATAACCAACTCAGAAGTGATCGGTGATGGTCAACAGTGATTACTTTCACATTAATGCATAAAGTTGCAATTTGATTCCCTGAATGTTTTCATCATAACCAAACAAATAGTTCAAGCTTGTTTTATTTTTGAAATAACCAAAATGGCAAGAATAACCAAGCCTCAGGTTTGTTCCAACATAGTTTAATATCAACACCATCTAAACCTGGTTCTGATCCTTTGGCATCTCCAGGGAAAAACAAGGCAGACAGCTGATACTGATAAACCATGTGGAACACCCTTGAAAAACAAATACGAGTTGATTAAAGGCAACTTTAAATTTTGGTTACAATCGTCACAAACACCAACCTTGCCTTTAAAAAGGTCTGTAGGGATTTTTGCCTTCAAAACCTTTGAGGTTTAAGCCAGGTATGTTTTTTCCTCCATTATAGGTAGTCCTCAACTCACAGCCATTTGTTTAGTGACTGCTCAAAGTTACAACAGCACGGAAAAACGTGGCTTGTGACCATTTTTCACACTTACCACTGTAGCAGCATCTCCATGGTCCCATAATCAAAATTTGGATGCTTGGCCACTGGCATGCATTGATGACGGTTGCAGTGTCCTGGGGTCGTGTGGTTCCCTTTTGTGACCGGACAAGCAAAGTCGGTGGGGGAAGCCAGAGTTACTTAACAATTGTGTTGCTAACTTAACAACTTCAGTGATTCATTGGCAAGAAAGGCCGCAAAATGGGCCAAAACTCACTTAACCCCTTAGCAACAGCAAGTTTGGCCTAATTGTCATCAAAAGTCGAGGACGACCTGCAATGGAAGGTTGCATTAAAGAATTGCCGTGGCAAAAGATGAAGCAAATCCTTTTTACACAGTCCTTCGCTTCCTTCTCCCACTAGAAAAGAAAGGCAGATAAAAGCAAACGTGACAACTTTTAATAGGAAGAGGAGAAATAGTACATCACAGCTGAATATTAAAATCAAGTATGGCGACCTGGGTGATCCCCAGAACGCAACGAGTCCAAGATAGGGAATGAAGTTTTCAACAGTGAGGAGAAAAGTCACTGCTGATATAAGGTCAGACTGGAGGAGGGAAATATCTTTTCTTTTATAAGAAAGGCTAGACAACTCTGATGGGAAGATTTTGGAAAGGGGTGCTATAGACCCCCCAGCCAAAGATTAGATATATGTTGGCCCCAAATTCGTATAAAAAGGGGAAAGGAAAACTGGACTGGACAATCCTTGCTTCCCTATCTCCCACAACACTGTCTGAATAAGAAAAAAAAAAAAAGCACCATCCTCCATTTGTTACCAGCCTCAATGGGCCAGACAGGATTTTCAAGTAAACTTAGCAACAGCCCGATCGGTCCCCAGAGCCTTGTGGTCCCGGGCGGAGGGATGATCCAGGCTGAATAACTGCTGGTTGTTTAGAGCCAATCCTGATCCCATGTCCCTGGAAGGAGAGAGGAAAAAGGATTTATCCATGTAAGCATTTAAAACATAGTTGCCCTGACCACCTTAAGCATATACTTTACCCCACCTAGAAAAGTGTTCATTCTCTTATCTACGCCTTTTCTGGAAAACAAGTTCATGAATCCTCATAAACTACAAGCAATGTGCATTAATAGTGCATTAATATATCTCTTCAAAACTGGATGCACAACAGCTCTGGTGGCGCAGTGGTTAGAATGCAGTATTGCAGGCTAATTCTGCTGACTGCCAGCAGTTCAATTCTGACCGGCTCAACGCTGACTCAGCCTTCCATCCTTCTGAGGTTGGTAAAATGAGGACCCAGATTGTTGGGGGCAAGATGTTGACTCTCTAAACCGCTTAGAGAGGGCTGTAAAGCACTGTGAAGTGGTGTATAAGTCTAAGTGCTATTGCTATGGCTGTTTTTAACGTAGTAGCATTCTTACATGGGATTCTTCAACTGGCGAAGACAAGGAATCTATCTATCTGGAGTTTGAAGTCCGATGTAACTGAACCTGGGAAAGCCTCATAAATGAAGGCAGGACATGAAGCAACGGATGGAAACTAATCAAGGAGAGAAGCAACCTAGAACTAAGGAAGAATCTCTTGACAGTTTTGAACAATTAATCAGTGGGACAACTTGCCTCCAGAAGCTGTGGATGCTTCAACACTGGAGGTTTTTAAGAGGAGATTGGACAGCCATTGGTCTGAAATGGTACAGGGTTTCTTGCTTGAGCAGGGGGTTGGACTAGATGACCTCCAAGATCCCTTCCAACTTTGTTATTCTGCATTATTAGTGTCAGTCTGCAGAAACCTGGTAGGAGGATTGAGTACTGTATGGGATATCAAAAATCTTGATTCCAGTGAGTGCAAGCCACTGCCTGTGATCTGAACCGTTTTTTAAAAGAGAAATTGCGTTAACACGGCATGGAATTTTTCAAACTTCCAACTCCTTCTGCTAAGACTCCGGCTGTATTAGAACGACCGCATTCTGCCCCATGACAGAATTCCTGGCTACGGGTTTGACGGAGACCGAGAGAGGCTTCCGTCCAACGACTCACCTCATTGGAAATGTCAAGTTCACCCTGCTGGATCTTTCTGTAGATGGCTTTAGCTGTGTTGAGAAAGGCCTGAGACCAGCAAACAGAAAGAAAGAAAAGAAAATTCAAGATCAGTGTACAATCTGGTAGGATAGAGTCCTGTTCATCTAGCATCGGAAGAGAAACTTGAAACTAAGAAAGGGACCACAAGCAAGGTACAGTCTTCCAGATCCTCCACCATCTGGCTGACAGGTTCAGAAGAAGTTAGGCCCGGATTTCCGAGGGTTTTCCCTAACCAAAACAAAAAAACAAAACAACCCCCCCCCCTCTGCAGAGTTTCTAACGTTTTTTTTATTCTTCACCTCTTCCACGTTGGCTGATGTCTTGGCTGATGTCTCCATGAAAACCATGCCATGTTCCCGAGCGAAAGCCTCTCCTTCCTCTTTTTGAACAACTCGGCGGTTCTCCATGTCGCTACAAAGAGGCAAAACACGGCGGTCAAAAAAGGACAAGGGCACAAAAGCCTCAAAAGAAAGAACAAGGAGGCAGATAAACCCCAAATTGGAAGGCCATTTCTTCAGCCCTCTGTGCTCAGCCCTCTTGGATGCACCTCGGAAGCAAACACACCCAGGGACTAAAAAAAAAGTTACAGATCGACTTACGATCACGACTGAGCCCCACAATTCGGCTGCACAGTGAGAGACAGCGGCTGCGTTGAGTTTGGCCCCATTTGAACACCTGTCTTGCCACGGGTTCAGTGAGTCCCCGCAGTTGTCAAGTTAGTAACGCGGTTGTTAAGTGAATCTGGCTTCCCCCATTGACTTTGCTCGTCAGAAGGTCGCAAAAGGTGATGGCATGACCGTGGGGGTCAATGCCACTGTCATAAATACGAGTCCGTTGCCAAGCATCTGAATTTTGATCACGCGAACATGGGGTGTGTGTATGTGCTGCAACAGTCGTTAAGTGCGAAAAACGGTCTTAAGCCCTTTTTCCCCCCAGTGCTGTTGTAACTTAGAACAGTCACTAACCAAATTTTTGTTAAGTTGAGGACTATTTTACATTTTTTTTAGTGACACAAATGAGCAGCATCTACGACAGAGGTCTTCAAACTCGGCCCTTTTACGACTTGCGGACTTCAACTCCCAGAATTCCTCAGCCAGCGTACCTAGTTTGGGTAATGGAAGGTCTGCGAGAAAGCATCTAAGCTCCGAGACCATCAAAGACCCCTCATTTCAACCCTGAGCTACAAATATTCTCCTTTTCCTTTCTTTTTATTTTTTTTCCTACAATTGACAACGAGGTCAACTGTAGAATTGCTAAGGCAAGTTCTGCATTTGGCAGACTACGGACTAACGTGTGGGACCGCCGTGGAATAAGCCTTGCTACTAAGCTTAAAGTTTACCAGGCAGCAGTGCTAACTACCCTATTGTATGCTAGTGAGACCTGGACAGTGTACAGGAGGCACGTTAGGCAACTGAACTACTTCCACATGACTTGCCTTCGTAGAATTCTGAGGATCCAGTGGCAGGATAAGATACCAGACAAAGATGTCCTCTCCAGAGCAGGCCTATCATCAGTTTACACTCTGTTGATGAAAGCCCAGATGCGCTGGGCAGGCCGTGTTGTAAGGATGCCAGATCATCGCATCCCTAAACAGCTCTTCTATGGTGAGCTGTCTCAAGGAAAACGATCGCACGGGGGACAAAAGAAGCGATACAAAGACACGCCGAAAGCCTCTCTCAAGTCCCTGGATATTGACACTACCTCTTGGGAACTTCTGGTGCATGATCGACCGACATGGCGCACTCTGGGGTACCAGGGTTGCCAGACATATGAACACAGAAGGACAATCTTGGCACAAGAGAAGTGTGCACTCCGCAAAGCCAGAGCTGCAAATGCTGAAGTAACAGTGTTTACATTTCTTTGTTCAGTATGTGGCAGAACATTCCGTGCTAACATCGGTCTTATCAGCCACCTACGGACACATCGTTGATGGCCCATAATCCACATGATGTCAAGGTCCTCATCGAATTCGATAGACGAACATTCTATTCTATTTATTTTCCTCATCTAGATTTCCTGCGCTCATGACATTTCTCATCTCCCCCCCCCCTCAGAACTGGACATTACTGGTGGATGGAAACCAAGGAAAAACCTTCTTTTGATTGCAATGGGAGTTTTAACTTGGGAGGACTTCTGGGCAAAAAAGCGGTGTGCAGAGTTTAAAGAGCAATGTGAGAAACCAGGTGATCCCCAAAGTGATCAGATGCTTGTAAGGAAGCTATTGCCCTTCCTGCTACAAATCACCCCCCCACACACACACACTCCATACTTGCACTGCTGATGTTACTTAGTTTGGTAATGAAATGCCTTCAAGAAAACAGAGAACACCAACAACCCCACTAAGACAAGTGATGGGTACTGGTGTGTACCCTAGAGCTTCATAAATTCAAATACCAATCACCTATCAGGCTCGCAATCACCTACCAGTGACTCCCCAAAAGCAGCAACATCTGTTTCCAAAATTGTGGCTCTCCCTTTTGCGGTTGCAGCCAACCTCAGAAATGAGAAGGTGATCAGCCGCCTGGGAAAGCCCAGGGAAATCATCAAAACAATTAAAAAACAAAAGTTAGACTAGTTCGGACATGTGATGCGACACCCAGAAAAAATACGGCATGCTCCATTTAATCCTCCAGGGAAAGACTGAAGGCAAACGAGGTCCAGGCGGAAGAAGAACATCGTGGCTTCAAAATCTAAGGGACCGGTTTGGACAAAACTCAGCAGCACTTTTTCGTGCGGCTGCTGATAAAAACAGGATCACCAACATGATTGCCAACGTCCGATAACGGATATGGCACAAGAAGAAGAAGAAGCCAACCTTTGGTTGGAGGAACTGCAGACAGTCGGACATGGGCTGATTAATAGGCAGGAAGGAAAAATCAGAGTGAAGAAATGTCTATGGAGATTCTCAGTAATCCTGGTCATAGCTGTCCCTTTGAGAAACTCCATAGACCAGTGGTGGCAAACCTATGGCACGGGTGCCAGAGGCGGCACTCGGAGCCCTCTCTGTGGGCACACATGCCGTTGCCCCAGCCTTGCCTCCGCTCGCGACCACCTTCCTCATCAGCAGCCTCCCTGGAGGAAAGTCGCCCCGAATGTGGGCCACGTGGAGCAGTGCAGACAAGGACATGGCAGCCAGGCAGCATAGACAAGACTCTGCCCTCACTGCCCCAACGCGCACAGTTGATGCTGCGGGGCGTAGAGGGCGTGGCCGCCATGGCGCTGCTGGACTGCCTGGGCGATCTGCGGTGGGCCCTGGAGGTGGTGAGCGGCCCTGCGGGCAGGCAGAGCGCGGCGGGGCCAGTTTTTGGGCACTCGGTCTCTAAAAGGTTTGCCATCACTGCCATAGCCTTTTAGCTATGCACTTGAGGATGAACACCCTTTGAATGGCGTGGGAGTATGAACGGATTTCCAGAAAACATTGCAGGCTACAGGAACCATTTGCGCTTCAGTCTGAGAGGCAGACAACACAGATTCATCCCCCAACAGCCTGTGCGCCTGTCTTCAACCGTGAAGGGACCCAGGGCAGAAAACATCCTGCAACCAAGAAGGCCCCACACCCATTTGCACCACTCAGGTGACCCTGAGGACACAGACAAAACTCCGAGTGGCCTCGATGACTCTCTAAAACAGGGGTGTCAAACTGCCGGCTTGTGCGGGCTGGATGCGTCATGCGGAAGCCGCACCCGTCCCAGCTCCAGCAAGGAGGAAAAAGTCATGATACGTCGCGACACGTTGCATGACGCGACGAGTTTGACACCCCTGCTCTAAAGAGAAGGCAAATGGCCAGCTGTCTGCAAGGAAGATTAAATCCTTCCATTCCCCACCATCCTGTCAGAGCTGAAGAAGCTTCTTGGATGAGAAGCGAAAAGCCTTCAAAAGAAAAACAAGGAAGTCCGGTTGCCTCCTGGGAAAAAAAAAAACCAAACATATTTGGGAGAGAACGAAAAAAACCACCCGTACCTTTTATTGCCAATCAGCATGATCACCATGTGGGGACTGGAATGCTGCCGAGCGTCCTCTAACCAGGTGTACAAATGGTTGAACGTTTCTCGCCTGCGCGGGGTTAGGAAAAACCAAAGGTCAAAGTTGAAGGCGAGAACGATCAAAGCTGAGAGGGTGGGCTTTATGGAGGTGTCACGGTTCCGATGAAACACTTCAAAGAACTTCCAGACATTGTTTATCCTAAGAAGTCTTTAACTGTGTAACAAAGTGTCAGCATAGCATGGAGGATGCCAAGATCTGAATTCCCCACCTTTGAGTAAATAATATTCCAGCCTATTTCCCTCCTCTTATTTGCAGTCATAAATCACGTTCTCCAATTAGTTTGAAGGGCAAAGTTTCCTTCCCTTCTGTCTTAACATCCCCACACACATTCTTTCTCCTCCCCTCCCAGCATCATCTAATTCAGTGGTTCTCAACCTTTTTAATGCCACGACCCCCAACTGGTTGTAAGTTGAGGACTACTCAACCGGTCGTAAGTCGAGGACTACTCAACTGGTGCAGCACCGTTTGCAGAATGGAACTTTTGGCGGGCTCAGCAGGGCAGAGACAGCCTGGACAATTCCTATTGGCTTTTGAAAGTCCATAGAATTAGACTCTATTCAAGAGAGTCTATTCTATTGGCTTTCAAAAGCCAATAGAATAAAAGGGAGTAGCACAGCTAAGGAAAAGGGGGGAAAAATGGCGGACAGCCTTGCTTGGCGACCCCCGTGAAATGGTCGTTCGACCCCAAATGGGGTCCCGATCCACAGGTGGAGAACCACTGATCTAATTTAACTCTAAAAATACCACACAGCTTATATGGAGAGCGGCTGCCTCTTTATATATTGTCAAAGCAAGAACATCCAATGTTAGCAGTGTTGACAGGAGGAACATCCTCTCCCATCGTCTTTGTCCCCAGAGTATGCACCGGGAAAAAAACCACAGGGGACTGGAGAAGAGTTTCCTTCCATTGTCACTTGAAATCCAGAGGCCCTGAGGAAAAAGTCTTGCAGATGTGGGGTCTGCTCATACCCTTCCTTCTCCTCTGACTTTGCATCTTTCAAAGCAACATTCAAAACAATTAAACAAGGTAACCGAACCAAATAAGCTGAAAGCCTGTTGGAAAGCTATGCCACCCTTTGTACAGTAGTGGCCCAAACTGTGGAAACCTTTGGGGGAAAGTGTACAGTAGAAATGCCACCTTTGCTTAAGTTTTTCTTTTTCTCCTAATTTCTTTATAACTGTAGCCTTGTTCACCTTAATAATACTATTTTACATCGCTTTCTGGGCAACCAGTCGAGTCTTTGCACCATTACTTTAATTTCATTACGTTTTCCAAGCTCACTAAATGAAAGAGAAAAAAAAAACCCCAACCAACTTGATAGCGATCACATAACACACCGACAAATGTCCTCCTCTCAGCTTCAATACGCAGCATCAATAACTGGATCCTACTGTGATCTGATTGGCTCATTGCCAAAACAAGATGACACCCGATTGGCTCTCTAAACACTCGTGCTCATTGGCTACATTCAGATGAAGGAAAGCTTCATCAACCTAAGCAAGTTGTGCTTCCTTTTTCTGGTTATTTGACTATAGCTTTTCATAGAATACAGTACTGGTAATTGATCAAACTTTGTTGTATTACATTCTTGCTTAAATTATCTTTCCACTGATATATAATTTTATGGTATCCCTCCAAAAAAGTGGTGTTATTAGCCATCAAACCTCAAAAATATGCTTTTCCTAAAAGGGTTCCACAATTTCAGCCATTACTGTAAATTTGTAGAGTTTGGGTGGAATCTTCTAAGGCAGAGGTTCCCAATGAGGCTACGAGTGTGCTCACAAACAGGGCCGTGAGCATGCACGCAATGCTCAACGGCATGCTAACGCCCGCGTGATGCTCACCGTGATGTTACCACGAGTGGGGGTGAGTGCGCACGCACGCACGCACACACACACACACATGTGCACTGGCCAGCCATTGACGCAGCCCGTGGCTAAGAGGCCACGGCCTGGTAGTAGGCCCAACAGGTTGGGGACCCCTATTGTAAGGCTCTGGATGCGAGTGCCACACCGAGGAAATAGTCTTGCACATGAAGGATGTGAGACTTCCAGTTCTATTCAAACTCTTCCTTCTCTAATTTCCTTGCCTGTTTCAAAGCAATATTGAAACAATTAAGCAAGGTAATAAGCATTGGCCATGGCTCCTGGGCTGAAACCAAATAAACCTACAAAGATGGGGGGGGGGTGTCAAACCATTTTCCAAAGCACCCAGGAGGCAAGATGAGAAACAATGGATGGAAACTAGCCAAGGAGAGAAGCAACCTAGAGCTAAGAAGACATTGCCTAAAGTTTAGAGCAGTGGTTCTCAACCTTTTTAATGCCGTGACCCCCAACCGGTCATACGTCAAGGACTACTCAACCAGTCGTAAGTCGAGGACTACTCAACAGGTGCAGCACCGTTTGCAGAATGGGACTTTTGGCGGGCTCAGCAGGGCAGAGACAGCCTGGACAATTCCTATTGGCTTTTGAAAGCAAATAGAATTAGACTATATTCAAGAGAGTCTATTCTATTGGCTTTCAAAAGCCAATAGAATAAAAGGGAGTAGCACAGCTAAGGAAAAGGGGGAAAAAATGGCGGATTGCGTTGTTTGGCGACCCCCGGGAAATGGTCGTTCGACCCCAAATGGGGTCCCGACCCACAGGTTGAGAACCACTGGTTTAGAGGAATCAATCAATGAACAACTTGCTCCATCACTGAAGGCTTTCAAAAAGAGACTGGACAACTATTTATCTGAAATGGTATAGGGTCTCCTGTTCAAACAGGGGGGTCGGACTAGAAGATCCCTTCTAATTCTATTGTTTTATGTTCAAAAACCTGTTGGAAAACTATGCCACCCCTTTATAAATTTGTAAAGTTTGGGTGGAATCTTCTAAGGCTTGGATGTCAGTGCCACACAGAACCTGCTTTTGGCTGCTGCCAATGCAAGCAGAGTGAATGAGACAGCTATCTATCTATCTATCTATCTGTCTGTCTGTCTGTCTGTCTGTCTGTCTTTCCTATTTGGATTGCTCTCCAGATGTGCTGGACTCCACCTCACAAAATTCCCAGGCACTGTTCTGGAAACTGGATCTCAGTTCATTGGGAGAGCCCTTGATTGGAGGGGACAAAACTCATGGAGGGAGTTTACTTTCTATCCATACTGGTTTACATAGTTCCAAATGATAATGGCAGAGAGGAACGGCCGACATAAGAATTAGTTCACTGCTCTAACAGAAGGTAGCGTGAGAGAAATGCAGGAAACAGTAGAACGGGATGGGGACTAGACTAGACTAGCTTTATTTGGCCAAGTGTGATTAGATACACAAGGAATTTGTCTCCGGTGCAGCAACTCTCAGGCAACCTAATAAAAAGGTACATGTCGTGGGACCCAGAAGAAGGGCCTTCTCTGTGGTGGCTCCCTCCCTTTGGAACTTCATCCCTGCGGAGATTAGACTAGCTCCCAATTTGATACTCTTTTGCAATGCCCTGGTTTTGCCAATGACCCTGGGGAGCCCAGAGTGGGACTGAGCCCATCAAGGGCTCTGTTAGATGGTTGTTTGTCGCCAAGAGGCGGGGTATTGTATATTGGGATTTTTATTTTGTGCAAGCCACTTCAGAGTCACGGACATTGAATGGGCAGCCACGTAACTTCTCTAAGTAGAGAAATAAATAAACTGGCCTCTTTAGGGAATGTTCATTTCACCTATCTCTCTATCCCAGTGGTTCTCAACCTTTTTAATGCCGCGACCCCCAACCGGTCGTAAGCCGAGGACTACTCAACCGGTCGTAAGTCGAGGACTACTCAATTGGTTCAGCACTGTTTGCAGACTGGGGCTTTTGGCGGGCTCAGCAGGGCAGAGACAGCCTGGACAATTCCTATTGGCTTTTGAAAGCCAATAGAATTAGACTCTATTTCAAAAGCCAATAGAATAAAAGGGAGTAGCATAGCTAAGGAAAAGGGGGGGGGGGAAATGGCGGACTGCGTTGTTTGGCGACCCCCGTGAAATGGTCGTTCGACCCCAAATGGGGTCCCGACCCACAAGTTGAGAACCACTGCTCTATCCCAATCATTCTGGCAGCTGAATGGGATTACCTGGAAGAACTTGCAGACCATCGATGGCCCTCAAAGCCAAAGATTGGGAGCCGCTGGGCTAAACAACAAACCTAATCCTGATCGACTTTGATATTGTGCGTTGTGCTTGGGCCTCACCTGGTGATGTCGTAGACCAAGAGCGCCCCAGCTGTTCCTCTGTAATAGGAGCGTGTGATAGACTGGAAGGATTCCTGGCCAGCCTTTGGAACAAAAGAGAGGCACACGGAACTACGTTATCAGGTCTAAAGCACGAGCCAAGCTGCACCACAGCAGGATATAAAGGTGGAATGGGAGCTGGGAGCAACTGCTCCTTCTGGGCCATCCAGTCCCAGTGATCCCTTTTCCACACACCCCACCACTCCCACCCAAAAGGCTTTTTGGGGTTCCTCACCGTATCCCAAATCTGCAGTTTGATCTTTTTGTTTTCAATGGAAATCATCCGTGCCCCGAACTCCACACCTGGTGGGGAAATGGAAGAGGAAAGAGATTCGACGGGAACCAGGCTCGGTGGGTTGGCCTTCTACTCGTACCCCTTTCTCAGCACAATTCCCAGGCAGGGATCAGAAAAGAGAAGGCAGGCATGGCTGTGTATGTGTGTGGGGGGGGCAAATCTAGAGAAAGGCGGGAAGGAACAGAACGTGGAAAGAGTTTGTGAAAATCAGAGTCCAACAAGCAGAGGTGCAAGACCAAAAAAAAAAGGAACCACCACAGAGACATGGGCACCGGGTGTTGGGAAATCTAGATTTAAATCAGTGGTTCTCAACCTTTTTAATGCCGTGACCCCCAACTGGTCATAAGTCAAGGACTACTCAACTGGTGCAGCACCGTTTGCAGACTGGGGCTTTTGGCGGGCTCAGCAGGGCAGAGACAGCCTGGACAATTCCTATTGGCTTTTGAAAGCCAATAGAATTAGACTCTATTCAAGAAAGTCTATTCTATTGGCTTTCCAAAGCCAATAGAATAAAAGGGAGTAGCACAGCTAAGGAAAAGGGGGGAAAAATGGCAGACTGCGTTGTTTGGCGACCCCCGTGAAATGGTCGTTCGACCCCAAATGGGGTCCTGGCCCACAGGTGGAGAACCGCTGATTTAAATGGACCTCAGAAGCGGGGGGGGGGGGGGTTAAGTTACTTTTTTGAAATTAAGACTCACATTACCTGTTGCGTGGGGGAAACAGAAGGCAGGGGGGAAAGAAATGGGGCTTTGAATCAGCCGATTTGAAATTACACCTTATCTGCTTCAACCTACTGTAACTCTGCTCCCTCATTTAACCTCTGCTTCTCTTTCAACCACGTTCACGATTTCGGCTTCTCTCTTCGCTTTCACCCTCAAAGGTCCCCTTTTCCATACACAGGCACTCCTCAGCTGATGCACACAACTGAGCCCAGGATTTACGTGCTGAGCGAGACCTTTGTTAAGTGAGTTTTGCCCCATTTTATGGCTTCTCTGGCCACGTTTGTTAAGCAAATCACTGCAGTTGTTCAATCAGCAACCACGGTTTGTTAAGTGAATCTGGCTTCCCCGTCAACTTTGTTTGTCAGAAGGGTGCCAAAAGGGGATCACACGACCCCAGGACCCTGCAACCGTCATAAATGTGAACCAGTTGTCAAAGGATCCAAATGAAATCACGTGACCATGGGGATGCTGCAATGGTTGCAAGTGTGACAAAATGGTCATAAGCCACTTTTTCCAATGCTGTAGTAACTCTGAACAATCACTAAGCGAACTGTTGTTAAGTCGAGAATTACCTGTACATTATTTATATATTATGTGTGTACATCTATCTACTATCTATCCATCCATCCACCACCCATCCACTTACTTATCTACCCACCCACCCATCCATCTATCCATCCATACACCACCCATCCATCCATCCACTCCCACACCTATCTACATATCCACCCACCCAGTTATCTATTCATCCACCTACCCACACTACCCATCCATCCATCCATCCCCACACCTATCCACCCACCCACCCACCCACCCACCCATCTATCTATCTATCCATCCACACACCACTCATCCATCCACCTCCACACCTATCTACCTATCCACCCACCCACCTATCTATTCATCCATCCACCCACCCACACACCACCCATCCATCCAGCCCCACACCTATCTACCCATCCACCCATCTATCCATCCATCCATCCACCCACACACCACTCATCCATCTACTCCCACACCTATCTATCTATCTAACCACCCATCCATCCATCCATCCATCCACACCATCCATCCATCCATCCATCCCCACACCTATCTACCTATCCACCCACCCATCTATTCATCCATCCACCCACCCACACACCACCCATCCATCCAGCCCCACACACCTACTTACCTACCTACCCACCCATCCATCCATCCACCCACCTATTATCTACCCATTCATCTTTTTTTTCTTCCATTCAATCGTGTCCAATTTTCAAAAACTGCCTGGACAAGTCCTTGCAATTTTCTTTTTTTCAGCAGTGGTTTGCCGCTGCCTTCTTTTTCCTAGGGACTGCCCCAAGGTCATCCAGCTGGCTTTGTGCCAAAGTTGGGACTAGAACTCACATTTCCAGTCGCCTCCTGGTGAAATGGGCGCCAAACAAATTTAATAAATTCTCCCGGTTTCTAGTCTGATGCCACAACCGCTAGACCGAACTGCCTATCCGTATTGCATACCGAGTATCTATGCTGTAAATATCCCATCTATATTCTAAGCACATGGGAACATGGAACCTGCCTGGGTCTAGATAAGTTTTAACTCCACCGTGTACACTGTTAGTACTGCAATAATAACAAACAGTGACTTTTCTCTCCATGGGGTATTTAGCTAAGCACAATTCCAACAATTACGGTTCACCAAGACTCACAGAGCCATCTGGCTTTGATCCTCACCAATTGTCAAATCATGAACAGCCATAAACCGTTTATCTGTGAACTGCAGCAAGAGGCATGATTTCCCGACGCCTTAAAAAAAAAAAAAGATAAAATATTACTTTAAATTCCTACGCTGGAAAAAAAAGAGAGATTTGTGTCTAACTTAAGCATTTTATAGAACAATTTACTGATGCATTTATACCCTTTATCAGCGCAATCGATACACGTTTATCTTCATAATCCCTCGTTGTTTAATAAACCCTATTTCCCTGAGATGCAGAAGCGGATCCTAAATGATAGAATAATTTAAAAAGTGCTTTAGGAGGTTCTCCATTTACTGAAGGCAGAATCTGAACGTCTGTTTTTTTGGGTTTTTTTGCTTTCTTTCTGGATGTTTGGTAATCCAGACCCTTTTTCCCATTGTTGTTGTTGTTGTTAATTGCGAAGTCATGTCTGACCCATCGCAACCCCATGGACAACGTTCCTCCAGGCCTTCCTGTCCTCTACCATCTTCTGGAGTCCATTTAAGCTCATGCCTCCTGCTTCAGTGACTCCATCCAGCCATCTCATTCTCTGTCGTTCCTTTCTTCTATTGCCCTCAATCTTTCCCAGCATTAGGCCCTTCTCCAGTGAGTCCTTCCTTCTCATTAGGTGGCCAAAGTATTTGAGTTTCAACTTCAGGATCTGGCCTTCTCAAGAGCAGTCGGGGTTGATCTCTTCTAGGACTGACCGGTTTGAACGCCTTGCAGTCCAAGGGACTCGCAGGAGTCTTCTCCAGCACCATAGTTCAAAGGCCTCAATTCTTTGGCGCTCAGCCTTTCTTATGGTCCAACTTTCACAGCCATACATTGCAACTGGGAAAACCATGGCCTGGACTATACGCACTTTTGTTGGCAGGGTGATGTCTCTGCTTTTTAGTATGCTGTCTAGATTTGCCATAGCTTTCCTCCCCAGGAGCAAGCGTCGTTTAATTTCTTGGCTGCAGTCCCCATCTGAGGTGATCTTTGAGCCCAGAAAAAGAGACCCTCTTGGAGGGAGATAATTGGTCCATAGATGTGAAAAATAAATAAACAACAAATAAGCGGCATTTTTAAAATTGGAAGTCAAATTAGCAATGGGAAAACAGCAACTCTAATCAACCCAATTTGCCTAGAGTGCAGGCAGTCCTCCACTTACAGCAGTTCGCTTAGTGACTGTTCAAAGTTACAACGGCATGGAAAAGAGGGATTTATGACCATTTTTCACACTTACGACCATTTTTGGCATCCTCGTGGCATTTACGATGGTCAAAGCATCCCGGGGTTATGTGATCCAATCTTCTGACAAGCAAAATCAATGGGGAAACCAGATTCACTTAATTAATTTAACAATTGTGGGAATCCTCTTAACAAACCTGGGCAAGGAAAGTTGTAAAATGGGGCCAAAACTCACTTGACCAATGTCTCACTTAGCAATCTAAATCCTGGGCTCAGTTGTGGTCGTGAGTCGAGGACTATCTGTACTTCCTTTGGAGAAGTAAATGGACCCCCACCCAGAGAATTTTCATGAGCCTTCATCTTGCTTTTCCACCCCATAATATTCTCAGGACAAAAGATATGGAGAAATGTTTCTTTTTTTCAAACTTGGGAATGTTTAAGACAGGGGTAGGCCACCTTGGCTCTTTTATGACTGGTGGACTTCAACTCCCAGAATTCCTGAGCCAGCATGGCTCAGCTTGGAAACTTCTCCCTTTCCCCTCAGCATGGCTGGCTCAGGAATTCTGGGAATTGAAGTCCACAAGTTATAAAAGGAGCCAAGTTTGAAGACCCCTCACTTAGAGAACATATGAAAGCAAAATTAATGTTAATTAATGTAGACTTTATTAGTTTAGAGCAGGGTAGGCAACCTTGGCTCTTTTATGACTCGTGGACTTCAACTCCCAGAATTCCTGAGCCAGCATGGCTCACTTGGAAACCTCTCCCTTCCCCTCAGCGTGGCTGGCTCAGGAATTCTGGGAGTTGAAGTCCACGAGTCATAAAAGAGCCAAGGTGGCCTACCTCTAGCCTAGGCCTAGGCCAGGGGTAGCCAACATTGGCTCTTTTATGACTCGTGGACTTCAACTCCCAGAATTCCTGAGCCAGCATGGCTCAGCTTGGAAACCTCTCCCTTTCCCCTCAGCGTGGCTGGCTCAGGAATTCTGGGAGTTGAAGTCCACGAGTCATAAAAGAGCCAAGGCTGCCTACCCCTGCTTTAAGATGTCTGGATTTCAATCTCCAGAATTCCCAGAGCCGGCTATGCTATGAGTGACAGGGACAGCAAGGCCATACAGATTAGTCCTCAGCTGAGCCGATAACGATAACTGAGCCAAAATTTGTTGGGCTAAGCGATTCGTTGTTAAGTGAGTTTGGCTAAGCAAGTTGTTCGGCGAGTTTTACCCCCTTTTTACAACTTTTCTATTTACCGTTGTTAAGTGAACTGCTGCATTTTTAAAGTTAGCAGCCTGGCTGTTAAGTGAATCTGGCTTCCCCATGGACTTTGCTTGTCAGAGGTCTGTGAAACATGATCACACAATTTTGGGACACCGCAACTGTCATAAATAGGAGCCAATGGCCAAACCTCTGAATTTTAAGCGTGTGATCACAGGGCTCCTGCCAATGGTGGTAAGTGTGAAAAACCATCGTTAAGTCACTTTTTTTTAGAACCGTCACTAAATGAATGGTTGAAAGCCGAGGACTACCTTTAATGGGAGAATCTGGGCTTTCAAATAACTAAACTACACACTCATATCTGAAAAGATGATAGGGGAAGTTTTGTAGGAGTGGACTATAAGGGAGCCTAGCTAATTTCTTCTTAGTCCCCCACCTTGCTAGTCATTCTTGATATCTACCGAGAAACAAGTCTTTCTAAATTGGGTTTGGAAAGTGGCTAGAAGCTAGACGGTTGATTGTACAGTACTAAATACCACTCTACAATGCCTTGGTAAGGCCACACTTGGAATACTGCGTCCAGTTTTGGTCACCATGATGTAAAAAAGATGCTGAGACTCTAGAGAAGAGCAACAAAGAAGATTAGGGGACTGGAGGCTAAAACATATAAGGAACGGTTGCTGGAATTGGGTATGTCTAGTTTAACCAAGAGAAGGACAAGGGGGGACATGATAGCTGTGTTCCAATATCTCAGGGGCTGCCCCAAAGAAGAGGGAGTCAAGCTATTTTCCAAAGCACTTGAGGGCAGGAGAAGAAGCAACGGATGGAAACTAATCAAAGAGAGAAGCAACCTAGAACTAAGGAGAAACTTCTTGACAGTTAGAACAATTAACCAGTGGAACAACCTGCCTCCAGAAGCGGTGAATGCTCCAACACTGGAAGTTTTTAAGAAGAGACTGGACAGCCATTTGTCCGAAATGGTGTAGGGTTCCTGCCTGAGCAGGAGGTTGGACTCGATGACCTCCAAGGTCCCTTCCAACTTCATTATTATTATTATTATTATTATTTATTGATCATCGCACAGTCAGCCAGATGCTCAGACTGGATTTGGCATTTTGTCTACCTATCATTTTGTCTACCTATCGAGTCCTTACCCAGGACCTGGGATAGGCAGATGTGGATGTTTGATGGTATTACAGATATTATTATTATTATTATGGATCATCGCACAGTCAGCCAGGTGTTCAGACTGGATTTGGCATTTTGTCTACCTATCGAGTCCTTACCCAGGACCTGAGATAGGCAGATGTGGATGTTTGATGGTATTACAGGTATCGTCCCAGGATGGAAGCAGTTCCTAGTAAGGCCGTCTTTTGCAATTGACTAATAGCGAATTTGTCAATGCCAATGGTGTTCAAGTGGTGCTCCAGTTATTTTGGGATTGCACCCAAGGAGCTTATTACTATTGGTACTATTATTACTATTATTATTATTATTATTATTATTATTATTATTATTATTATTATTATTTTCCCTTCCTTTCCAAGTTATTGGATCGTCGGGAACTATCTAAGGACCGGAAAAGAGCTGATGTAGTCCTCATCTTCAAAAAAGGAAGAAGAAGAAGAAGAAAAAAAAACAGATCCAGGAAATTACAGACCATGACACCTGGGAAGGGATCTCGGAAAAGACAATCAAGCAACAAATCTGCAAACACCCAGAAACAAACAAGGATATAACCAGAAGCCAACATGGGTTCGTCAAAAACACATCGTGCCAAAACACATCTTATTTAGTTCGTTGACAAAGTGACCAAATGAGTAGATCAGCGAAATGCCGTGGACACAGTATAGAGGTAATTATCAACTTACGACCAAACAACGGAGCCCCAAATTTATGTTGTTCAGTGAGAAATGTGTCAAGTGAGCTTTGCCTCATTTTACAACTTTTTTTTTTTTGCCACGTGTTAAGTGAATCACTGCAGTTGTTAAGTTAGGAAGACGGTCAAGTGATTTTGCTTGTCAGAAGTCGCAAAAGGGGATCACATGACCTTGGGACACTGCAACAGTCATAAATAGAAGTCAGTTGTCGAGCATCTGCATTTAAATCACATGACCATGGGGATGCCACAACAGTCTTAAGTGTGAAAAATGGTCCATTTTTTTCAGTGCCGTTGTAACTTTGAGTGCTCACTAAACAAACTGTTGTTAAGTCAAGGACTACCTGTACTTAGATTTCACTGAAGCATTTGATAAAACAGACCTCAACCTACTTCTTGGCAAGTTAGTTTCAATGGTTCTGCTTGTGAATGCTCCATCAATGGAGGCTTTCAAAAAGGGACTGGACAACCATTTGTCTGAAATGGTGTAGGGGGTCTGCTCAAGCAGGGGGTTGGACTAGAAGACCTCCAAGGTCCTTTCAAACACTATCATTCTATGTTCTATGTTCATGTTATTGAATAGCAACCAATGTTTAGGACATACATGTCATTATTGGGCCAATCTATAACATAAGTGAATACCTTTTACTATCCTCTTTTATCAGATATGGGAGCCAAACTACAGATGGAACTCATAATGGACTATATATGCCTATTTCATTGGATTGTGTGCTGGATGGCTTCATTCCAGCCTTTTGTGCAGAAATATTCCATATTAGGAAGTGAGGGGGAAAGGGTGGGAGGACATTATTAATTATACATTATTAATTTTATTACCATTTATTCTATTCCAGGATCCAAATAAAAAAGTTGGGGTCTTGGGAATCCAAGTGGACAATCACTTAAATATGAGACAACATGTGGCGGCAGCCAACAAAGCCAATACAATCCTAGGCTGTTAATAGCGGGACAGAATCAAGATCACATGAAGTATTAGTACTGCTTTATAATGCCTTGGTAAGACCACACTTGGAATATTGCATCCAGTTTTAGTCTCCACGATTTAAAAAAAGATGTGGAGAAAAAGTGCAAAGAAGAACAACCAAGATGATTAGGGGACTGGAGGCTAAAACATGCGAAGAACATTGGCAGGAATTGGGTATGTCCAGTCTAGTGAAAAGAAGGACTAAGATATGATAGCAATGTTTCGGTATTTGGGGGGCTGTCACAAAGATAAGGGGGGCAAATTATTTTCCAAAGCACCAGAAGGCAAGACAAGAATCAATGGATGGAAGCTAATCAAGGAGAGAAGCAACCTAGAACTATGGAGAAATTTCCTAACAGTGAAAACAATCAACCAGAGGAATGGCTTGCTTTCAAAAATTGTGGGTGGCCCATCACTGGTGACTTTCAAGAGGAGACTGGATAGCCATTTGTCTGAAATGGTATAGCTCAGTGATGGCGAACCTTTTAGAGACCGAGTGCCCAAACTGCAACCCAAAACCCACTTATGCATCGTCGGGTGCCAGGTGGGTGTGCCCCATTGGAATGTGTGGCCAATTGAGTGGGTGTGGTGGCGGTGGTAATGGCAGACTGGGTGGGACTAAAAAGTTCAATCAATCAATTCCAACTTTGCAAGATTTTTTTTTTTCCCGTGAGAGGTTGAAATTGACTGATTGATTGAACCTTTTTTTTTTTGCACACAGCAGCAGAGGCCTAAAGCGAAAAGGTTTTATAAAACCCAACTGAAGGCCTAGGACTGGGGCAATGGCACGCATGCCCACAGAGAGGGCTCTGAGTGCTGCCCCTGGCACCCGTGCCATAGGTTCGCCACCACTGGTATAGCTTCTCCTGCTTGAGCAGGGGGCTGGACTAGAAGTCCTCCAAGACTATTGTATTGTATTGTTTCCAGTTGTACTGTTCTATTCTATTCTATTCTATTCTATTCTATTCTATTCTATTCTATTCTATTCTATTCTATTCTATTCTATTCTATTCTATTCTATTCTATTTTATTCCAAATCTCTATTCTATTCTATTCTATTCCAAATCTCTATTCTATTCTATTCCAAATCTCTATTCTATTCTATTCTATTCCAGCAAAACATGTATCTGCTTATTTATATTTGTTCTGCACTTTAAAAAATATAATCTCAAAATCTATGAATCTAAAAGGGGTCTTTACATATTTAGTGACTTCTTCTCTGTATATTAATCATTAAAGAGGTAATTTTAGATTGTTCACTTCCTAACCTTTTAATAGACTTGCTGTTGTGTCTGCTATCCTAGAGATAATAAAATTATAAACTATAAATAGGTTACATTTGTTTCAACCCTTTTCTTTTCAATGAACGGTCACTAAATGAACTGTTGTAAGGTGAGGACTGCCTGTATAGAGCAATGTCAGTTCTTCCCCTGGGCTCCGGTCCAATCTTGGTCACTCTGGGGATGGAAGAAGCCAAGGTCCTGGTTTTGCACAAAACCTCGGATTTAGAGATCAGAAAGTAAACCTAGATTTAACCAAGTTCTAATGCAGCCCTGAGGGGTCCTGGCGTGACTCTGGGGAGAGAGGAAGCGGCTTAACTGAGCCACCGTGTCCTTTGCTTCCAATCTCGCCATCCACCCCATCCTCACCCCAAAAGACTCAGGGAAACCCCCCCTCAGCCCCTCCCCTACCGGTGTCCCCGATGATAACGTATTTGAAAAGGTAGGCATATGACATGGCGCTGAAGCCTCCGGAAGCCCAGCCCCAACCGCCGCTCTCATTCCCTCCACCCTCACTTGGACGCTCTGGTTTTCCTTTTCCGGCTTCTTTATGAAGGCCCGGGAAAAAAAAAAAAAAAACCCCCAACACCTTTGTCTCGTCCAGGGGACGCTCTAGACCAGGGGTAGGCAACCTTGGCTCTTTTATGACTCGTGGACTTCAACTCCCAGAATTCCTGAGCCAGCCATGCTGAGGGGAAAGGGAGAGGTTTCCAAGCTGAGCCATGCTGGCTCAGGAATTCTGGGAGTTGAAGTCCACGAGTCATAAAAGAGCCAAGGTTGCCTACCTCTGCTATAGACAACTCGGAAGTACAAAATCCGCGGACACCTCCCCTCTCATTCAACCGTTGGCGGGGGGAGAGAAAGGCTCCGGGTTTGACGTCACATCCGGAAAGACTTCCGCCGGCTTTTCCCTCCCTCAGCCTCGAACGCGGGGGCCGCTCTACCGTGTCCTCTTCACTGCCCCACGAGGCCTGGGAGCCGCTTCCGGCTCGAGCCCTCGCCGCCTTAACGGCTTCGGCGGGCGGGGCGGGGTGGGGAGCGCCTGAGGTGAACTTTACAACCTGGGGGGAGACCTTCTCCCTCAGTTCCTCCCGCTTTCCCGCCCCCCCAACTCAGACTACCCGACTCCTTTCCCTGAAGGGGGCGGCAACGTGGGGCGGAAGTGACGCGACCTCGGCCGTCGCCTGGCTGTGGGCGGAATCCATTCCGGTTCCGGTCTGAGAGCCTGGAGGGAGAAAGCAGGAGGGGAGGGGGAGAGGCTGGTGGGGTCTCCCCCTCTTCGTCGCGGCTCCGAAGCGGCGGCCATGGAGGTGAGGGACCGAGCCGTGGGGGGGGGGGCGGCGGCGGCGGCGTGTTAACGGCTGTCCGCCGTGGGGCGGGAGGCTGCCCTTTGTGGCTGCCGAGGAGAAGGGGCTCGGGCGTGGGTCTGGGATGGAGGGGCTGGCATAAAGGGAAGCCGAGGGTTCCCCTCGGGGCCTCGGCTTGCTCTTTCCCAGCCCTTCCCGACGTTCCCCTCCCTCTCCGAGGATGCGGGACTACAACTCCAATGCTCCTCAGCCGCCCCTCTTGAGACAATCCGGGCAGCTGGGCTCCCGAGACGGAGGGATTGGCAAGATGCCGTTGGGGGGTGCGGGTGGGGAAAACGGGTTATGCTCTTCCCATCGTCAGTGGAGATTCTCCGCCATCCACGTCCTGGTTGTCCCAAAGGGGCTTTTTTGAGAGGCAACTGGACTTCCTTCTTTTTCTTTGAAGACGTTTCGCTTCTCATCCAAGAAGCTTCTTCAGCTCTGAATGGATGGTGGGAGAATGGAAGGATTTATACTCCTTGCAGACAGCTGGTCATTCTTTAAGAGAGTCCCTGAGGCCACCTGGAGCAGTGGTTCTCAACCTTTTTAATGCCGCGACCCCCCCACAACCGGTCGTAAGTCGAGGACTACTCAACCGGTCGTAAGTCGAGGACTACTCAACTGGTGCAGCACCGTGTGCAGAATGGGACTTTTGGCGGGCTCAGCAGGGCAGAGACAGCCTGGACAATTCCTATTGGCTTTTGAAAGCCAATAGAATTAGACTCTATTCAAGAGAGTCTATTCTATTGGCTTTCAAAAGCCAATAGAATAAAAGGGAGTAGCACAGCTAAGAAAAAGGGGGGGGGGGAAATGGCGGACTGCGTTGTTTGGCGACCCCCGTGAAATGGTCGTTCAACCCCAAATGGGGTCCCGACCCACAGGTTGAGAACCACTGACCTGGAGGTTTATCTGTGTGGTCAGGGTCACCCGAGTGGTACAAATGGGTGTGGAGCTGACTACAGGAACCATTTGCGCTTCAGTCTGAGATGCAGACAACACAGCTTCATCCCTAACAGCCTGTGCCTGTCTTCAACGTGAAGGCACACAGGGCAAAAACATCCTCCAGCCATCCTCCCCACATATTTGCACTACTCAGGTGACCCTGAGGACACACTAAACTTCCAGGTGACCTCAATGACTCTCTAAAAGAATGCAAACGACCAGCTGTCTGCAAGGAGTATAAATCCTTCCATTCCCCACCATCCCAGTCAGAGCTGAAGAAGCTTCTTGGATGAGAAGTGAAACATGTTCAGAGAAAAAAAAAAAACAGTCCAGTTGCCTTGTGAGAAAACACCTTTGGGATAACTCTTGCCACTGCTTGTGTTCCCTTCATCGTATGAACATGTGTCCATCAAGGCCGTGTGGATCTATATATTAGAGTTCACTGTGTCTGACAAACTAGGACAGGTATGTCAAACTGCCGGCCTGCGGGCCGGATGCGTCACGCTGAAACTGCACCCACCCCATTGCCGGCAATGAGGAAAAAGTCATGCGACGTCATGTGACGTTGCGAGTTTGACTTGCTTGAACTAGAACATTAGGGTGACGTGGAAGACAACGGCTGTCACAGCTATGAGGAGTGCCTTGTTTGGCTCTGTTATAGCTTCCACCTGCCTGCTCCAGGTATCTCGGATTTTGAAGGCTAAAATATCAGGATGCGACGGTAGTACAGGTAGTCCTTGACTTATGACCACCGTTGAGCCCAAAATTGATGTTGCTAAGTGAGTTTTGCCCTATTTTATGACATTCCTTGCCACATTGATTAAATGAATCACTACACTTGTTAAATTAGTAACGTTGTTAAGTGAATCTGGCTTTCCCATTGACTTTGATTGTCAGAAGGTCATAAAAGGTGATCACGTGATCCGGGACACTGCAACCATCCTAAATACATGCCAGTTGCCAAGCATCTGAATTTTGATCACATGACCATGGGGATGCTGCAAAGGTCCTTAAATGTGAAAATTGGTCATAAGTCACTTTTTCCCAGTGCTGTTTTAACTCCGAACGGTCACTAAACAAACTTGTAAGTCAAGGACTACCTGTATTAGTTCTGAGAGGCTAATGGCCTCCTTATTTATACATTGGGGATATAAAACATCAAAGGAGCATGGGTCAGAGCATGGCCAGAAAGTGCAAAAGATAATGAGAGGGAAAAAAAATTATCCTGAAAAATGTGACGGGATCAGCATGAAAAATACTAGATGTAAACAAACACAGAATAAGAACAACATGTTCAGGAACCAGGCATAGCTTAATCATATGCTATGGGAGAGAAGCCAGCCTATACATTATTATTGAAAGATAATAATTATGGACTGAGTATGTGAAATTTTTAGTTCCCCGTTAATAATTATCAAACAGAAAGCCTTGGCATTATTAAAATTCAATGGTTTTCAGCTCTGGCCATTTTTTCCTCCTAAAGCGGGGTGTCAAACTCACAATGTCACGTGACGTGTTGCGACGTATCGGGACTTTTTTTCTATTGCTGGCAATGGGGTTGGCGCGGTTTCGCCATGGCGCATCCGGCCTGCAGGCCAGCAGTTTGACACCCCTGTCCTAAAGCTATGTATAATTTTTTTAGGTTACAATGCAATTAGGGTAAAACTCCTATGGCAGTGGTTCTCAACCTTTTTATACGGCGACCCCGGTCATAAGCAGGTGGCGCGCATGCGCGGCACACACGCGCGCCGCCGCCTCCTGTACTGCCCCCTGCACGGTGCGCATGCGCAGCGCCGCCCCCTGCACCGGCTGACGAAAAAAATGGCGGATCGCGTTGTTTGGCGACCCCTGTGAAATGGTCGTTCGACCCCAAATGGGGTCACGACCCACAGGTTGAGAACCGCTGTCCTATGGAATTTTCTGACAATGGTTAAGAAGGAGCTCACTTTCTGTATGAACATGTCTGCAATCCTTTGGGATCTTTTATAGACCTGCTGTAATATTGCTTCCAGGATGATTGGGTATTTAGATCGAACACTGGGTATTTTATGCTTATGCTTTACAGTTTCCTGTTGGGCAAGAGAAATTGGATGGATTTTGTTCATGGATCTTTTTTCTTCCTAGGTTAGGATGGATAGCACTCAACTCTGTGTGTGGGAAATCACTGTGGTTTATGTTAATCCCCAGGAGGTGTTCTACACACAATGGAGTGTTTCATTGTTTATTCTCCTTTAACACATGGTAGACTTTTGTTACACATTTGTCCCAGAGCCTGTATGTCACCTTTTGCAGAGAGGGAGGAGTTATGAACCCCAGTCTACCTGGGGCCCTTGCACATCTATGATCTTCAATGAAGCCATGCTGAAATGGAACATGTTAGTGAAGCACAGTTCATGTTACTGTGGAGCAGTATTTCTCAACATTGGGAACTTGGATGTATAAACTTCAATTTCTGGTTGACGTTCATACAATTAGAAGCTGTCAAGGTTGAGAAACATGGCAACAGAACAGAGGTGGGAAATTAATTTTCCCAAGAACCACATGAGAGACTGGCACTGTTGTGGAGGGCTGAACTAAAAGGACTGTGAAGGTGCATAGGCCTGCACGCACATACATAAATTGAAAAAAAAATATTCACCTTCAAAATAAAATCAAGCCACGTGGTCCAGACAGGGACAGCCAAAGGGATGGATGTGACTCAGGGGTCGTAAAGCGCCCAGGTCTGCTCTAGAATATGTCTGGCCTGCATAATAAGTGCAGTTGCATTGCCCAAATAAGATAAATTGTCATGAAAACTGGGTGTTACTTCTTAACGTGCAAGGAACTCCAGGTCGCAAAAGGCATGTGAACATTGCTGGTTGCAAGATGGTTCAACAGTTAAACACTTACCTGCTTCTGCCGACTGTGGTCGTTTCTTGCTCTGCTTTTTTTTTCCACCCTTCTTTTTTTACTGCAGCGGATTTGAAACTTCCTAACTGCACGCCGAGGGGCTCTATGTTTAGCTCTGGGTCTTTGAAAGACTGGCAACCTGCTGAAGGAATATCTTGCAATGGGATTATGCGCCAATGGCGCTTCCAAGGGGAGGTTTCATCCTGCTGCCACTTTTTCTGAATCAGTAACAGGACCTGTCTCTGCTACTGGGTTTTGAAAAGCTGCTTGGGCTGCTGACATTAGCAATGGAAACGCTATAGCAAGCTTCACATACACGCTTTCACCTCAACAACTGTTTTTTTTCCCTCCTTTGCTCTGGATTTCTGGAATTTTTGCTTAATTTATGATATTTCTATCCCCTACCTCCACAAAAAAATATCAAGCCCTTCCTGGCCCAGTCAAACTTTCCAACATTGCAACATTGCCCCAAGGCTTGTCATAAAGAGAAACACTTTGTGGCACGGCCTTTGTATGTAAACCTGACCCAGCCAGGCTGTGAGTAGAGAATCCATATTAACTCTGCTCTGTGATGTTTCATGACTTACATTTTCCAAGCGATTCGAAGACAGTTAACAAAGGAGTATCTTTTGGTGAAGATTCTCAATCATCCAGGCAAGAGATGTCAGAAGTGGTCTGAAGGCTGAATCATGGCAATTTTGGTCCCGTTGTAATGATTCAACCTTTAGATTATCGTTTTCACATTCAATTGTCAATGATCCTATGCCGGGCGCTGGCTGTGTTCCCCATCAGACTGTCATCATATTGGTAAACAAGGTTTGTTGAATAGGTCAGTAGGCTCACCTGTCAGGCTAAATCAGAGGGTTGGACTTCTAGACCGGGGTAGGCAACCTTGGCTCTTTTATGACTCGTGGACTTCAATACCCAGAATTGCTGAACCAGCCATGCTGAAACTCAGGGATTCTGGGAGTTGAAGTCCACAAGTCATAAAAGAGCCAAGGTTGCCTACCTCTGTAATCTAGACCAGTGCTTCTCAACCTGTGGGTCAGGACCCCATTTGGGGTCGAATGACCATTTCACGGGGGTCACCAAACAACGCAGCCCGCCATTTTTTCCCTCTTTTCCTTAGCTGTGCTACTCCCTTTTATTCTATTGGCTTTTGAAAGCCAATAGGAATTGTCCAGGCTGTCTCTGCCCTGCTGAGCCCGCCAAAAGTCCCACTCTGCAAACAGTGCTGCACCAGTTGAGTAGTCCTCGACTTATGACCGGTTGGGGGGTCGCGGTTGAGAACCACTGATCTAGACCAAGACAGTTGGGCTCACGTGTTGCCAAAGCCATACAAATCATAGTGTGGCTCAACCTCGTGTCTGATTGTTGCCTTTGTCTCTTAGTGCAAATTTGGCAACTTTTAAGATTTGGGGCGGTGGGGGGGGACTTCAGCTCCCAGAATTCCTCGGTCAGCATAGCTAACTGAGGAATTCTGGGAGTTGGAAGTCCGCAAGTCTGAATGTTTGCCAACTTTGGAGCCCCCTGTCTTAGTGTACCAATTTACACCGGTTATGAAAAACCCTCCATGACAGTCTGACACCCCCCCCCCCTTTTGAGAAAAATACAGTGAATTCATTCTTGGGGGCAGGAAACAGTTCTAAAACTGCAATAGGTTTCATAAACTCTAGCTGTACAAATGTTGTGGCTTTATCACAGCCGCTCCTGTTGTGTTTCTGGTTTAAGATAAGGGAAGAGAAGCTGATTGACTGATGTTTTCCTTTCTCTCCTAAGTTCCCTGGGGGAAATGAGAATTACCTGGCTATCACGGGGACGACCCACCCTTTCCTGTCAGGGGCCGAGGTGAGACGGCAACCAGGCTGGTATTTTGCTTGCAAGGGACTGCGGGCGGGACAGCGGGCGGCTCTGCTGCGTGATTGGACTTGGAGTCCAATGGACTATTTGTAGTTTAGGGTACAGCAAGATCATTTGCATGCCGAAGGACGCCGATCTAAGTTGCAATGTTAGCTTATTCGCAATGCTAGAAGTTCAGAGTCAGGCACTATCAGCCGGACGAGTTTAGTAAAGCCGATAGGCTTACAGACGATTGGATGCTTATGAATGTAGCTTGCCACTGGGAAGACCCTTCTATCTGATCTCCTCCCCCAGATTGATGTGTTAAAAAATGTGTCCGAATGGTCGTTTTATTAATTCACATGATGGGTAATCCACATAAAGTGGTTGCTGGTTCAGCCCAGCTTATGACCTAATAATAAATAGACGAGAAAGAACTGGAGAAGATAACAAAATACAAAGACCTACAAATAGAAATAGAAAGACTGGCAAAAGCAAGCGAGGGCAGTACCATGCCAAGTCTGAACATCTGGCTGACTGTGCGATGATCCATAATAATAATAATAATAATAATAATAATAATAATAATAATAATAATAATAATAATAATATAATAATAATAATAATAAAGTCTGAATAGTGGACGTGGCAGTGCCTGGAGACAGCAGAATAGAGAGAAAGAACTGGAGAAGATAACAAAATACAAAGACCTACAAATAGAAATAGAAAGACTGTGGCAAAAGCAAGCAAGGGTAGTACCAATAGTAATAGGCTCCTTGGGTGCAATCCCAAAACAACTGGAGCACCACTTGAACACCATTGGCATTGACAAATTCGCTATTAGTCAATTGCAAAAGGCGGCCTTATTAGGAACTGCTTCCATCCTGCGACGATACCTGTAACACCATCAAACATCCACATCTGCCTATCCCAGGTCCTGGGTAAGGACTCGATAGGTAGACAAAATGCCAAATCCAGTCTGAACCTCTGGCTGACTGTGCGATGATCCATAATAATAATAATAATAATAATAATAATAATAATAATAATAATAACAACAACAACAACAACAACAACAACAACAAAACAACAATAACAATAATAATATAGAAAGACTGGCAAAAGCAAGCGAGGGCAGTACCATGCCAAGTCTGAACATCTGGCTGACTGTGCGATGATCCATAATAATAATAATAATAATAATAATAATAATAATAATAATAATAATAATAATAATAACCCCCAGTGAGGCACTACCTTGACGTGGTTGTGGGGCTTGTGTACTCTGAGGAAGATGAGAGCTATGCAGAGGTTCAACCATACTGGACAGGTCTCATCAGAGGAGTCAGACAAAGAGTGTCTCTCCATAAAAAATATGGTGAGACGTAAATTTCAGAATGCCATACCGGCTCGGACGTCGCCCGGTTAACAAGGTCCGCACTAGATATTGGAGTTCCTGGATATCTGGTGAAAAATGGGTTACAGGACTCAGGACTGTTGGCTGAGCAACCAGGGCCAGCAGCTGCAGAACTACTGGAAGAAAAGGTGTTTACCCGTCGCAGATACACAGTGATGGAAAACAAAGAAATAATGATCTGTTACTACAGATCAAGTCCAACAAGACGAGGATATCTAAAACGAATGCACCAATTCTGGAAAGAACAACATCCAGAATCAGAAATAACAGAACAGAGACTAGCAGATCAACGCCGATTTATAACACGAAATAAAGTATTCACAGAAACAGAATTGGACGAACTGCAAAGGTTTACCCAGGGCAAAGAAATCAAAGCCTTACCAGAAGTAATTCAGAATGTAGAGGCAAACCAGGGGGAGGTGGCAGTGAAGGAATCTAGCAGAGATATACAACTGTTCTCATTTGGAAACCAGGCACCTCTACCTCAGGAAGAACAAAAACCCTCTAACTAAAGAAATAAAAGAATTGAAACAAAGAATAACTGAGCATCTAGAACAGCACAAAAACAACAGAATAAGGCTACCTGCATTGAAGCTTGTTCCAAAGAAACAGCTAGCACAAGCATTAAAAGATGCAAATACTGCAATATCAAGTATAAGCACCAATTCACTGCAAGAAACAAACCAACTAATGTACAGCACAGCTGCAGTTATAACAGAATACCTGGGATGCAAAATCAACAAAGAAGAAAAACAAACAAACAGTGCACCAGAAAAATGGAAGGTTAGACTAGAAAATAAGATCAGCAAGTTAAGATCACATGCAAGCAAGCTAGAACAGATGAAAGAAAAGAAGCTGAAGAACAAGAAGACCAAAGAATACCTAATCAAGAAATACCACTTAGAAACAAGGAAGATCAAGGAAGCACTGGAAATAATAAAGCAACAAATAACAGCTATAGCCAGGAAAATCAGTAGATATGAAGCTCGAATTGCAAACTATAGGCAGAACCTCCAATTTCAATCCAATCAGAAACGTTTCTACCAATCCATCAATGGAGAAACTGCAAGGAATCAGTCAGTACCTGACAAGGAAGAAACAGTGCAGTTCTGGAAGCAGATATGGGATAACCCAAAGAAATACAACAAGGATGCGGCTTGGTTAAAAGAGGTGGATGCAAATAAAACAGAAGTTGAAATGAAAGAACTAGTAATAACAACAAAAATGGTAGAAAAAAGAGCAAAGAAAATCAAAAATTGGTCAGCACCAGGTGAAGATGAACTGCATGGGTTTTGGTTGAAAAATCTAACTGTTATACACCCATCATTGCCAAGCAGTTCAACAATATACTACAAGGAGGAGAAATTGAAAAGTGGCTAACAACTGGGAAAACCTACCTAATAATGAAAAATCCAGCAAAAGGGGCAACACCAGGTAACTACAGGCCAATTACCTGCTTACCAACAACTTTCAAATTACTAACTGGTGTAGTAGCTGATGCAGTGCAACAGCATCTAGTTGAAAACAATCTCTTTCCACCTGAGCAGAAAGGAAACCGCCCCAATAGCAGAGGAACAAAAGATCAACTCCTAATAGACAAAATGATCTTGGAAAACTGCAAGAGAAGGAAGACCAACCTGAATGTGGCATGGATTGACTACAAAAAGGCATTTGACTCTCTGCCACATGATTGGATAATAAAGTGCCTAGAAATAACAGGAGTCAGTAGAAACATCAGAAAATTTGTGCAAAGATCGATGGCACAATGGAAGACACAGTTGCAGATCAATGGTGAGAGCTGGGAGAGGTTAATATCAAGAGAGGAATATTTCAAGGAGATTCATTATCACCATTACTATTTGTTATTGCACTGTTTCCTCTGTCAACAATACTGAATAACTCAGGACATGGCTATCAAACATCAAAAACATCTGCCAGACTATCCCACCTCCTTTATATGGATGATCTGAAGCTGTATGGAAAAACATCATCTGAAATAGAATCGCTGCTCAACACTGTCCGTATATATAGCCAAGATATTGTAATGGAGTTTGGCTTGGACAAATGTGCCACACTTACTATCAAACAAGGAAAAATAATGAAAACTGAAGGAATCAAGATGCCCCACGAAAATAACATTAAGAGTCTGGATGAGGAAGAGTACTACAAATACTTGGGTATCCTTCAAGCTGACAACATCAAGCACACTGAAGTCAAGAAAAAGATTAGAGGTGAATACATCAAGAGAGTGAAGAAGATCTTAAAATCCAAACTCAATGGAGGAAATACCATAAAGGCAATCAACACCTGGGCAATCCCAGTCATTAGGTACACAGCTGGAATAGTGGACTGGACTCAAGCAGAACTAAAAGCAATGGATAGGCAGACCAGAAAAATAATGACAATGAATCATGCCCTTCATCCACGCAGTGACATTGATAGACTTTATCTACCAAGGCAAATAGGTGGGCGTGGAATGCTACAAGTACATCAGATGGTTGAAGAAGAAAAAATGGCTTTGGAAGAATATCTGAAGAACAATGATGAAGATGCACTGAAATTAGTATATCAGGAAGGCTTACTAACTACTGGAGAGACCAAACTGGCCTACAAGAAAGACCAAATGAAGAACAGAATAGAGGCATGGGAAGACAAAGCACTACATGGCCAATACATGAAAAAAATAGCTGGGAAAGCAGATAATAATAAAACCTGGCAATGGCTAAGAGCAGGAAAATTGAAGAAAGAGACCGAGGGACTAATTCTGGCTGCACAAGACCAAGCCTTAAGGACAAATGCATACAAAGTCAAAATTGAGAAGACAGCAACAGACAGTAAGTGCCGCCTATGCAAAGAAGCTGAAGAAACAGTGGACCACTTGGTAAGCTGTTGCAAGAAGATTGCACAGACTGATTACAAGCAGCGGCATGACAAAGTAGCAACAATGGTGCATTGGAAGATCTGCAAAAAATATCATTTGCCTGTAAGCAAAAACTGGTGGGATCATAAAATAGAGAAAGTCATAGAAAATGATAAAATTAAACTGCTCTGGGACTTCAGAATTCAAACAGACAAGCACCTGCAACATAACACCCCAGACTTAACAATTGTCGATAAGAAAGACAAAAAAGTCTGGATAGTGGACGTGGCAGTGCCTGGAGATAGCAGAATAGAAGAGAAAGAACTGGAGAAGATAACAAAATACAAAGACCTACAAATAGAAATAGAAAGACTGTGGCAAAAGCAAGCAAGGGTAGTACCAATAGTCATAGGCTCCTTGGGTGCAATCCCAAAACAACTGGAGCACCACTTGAACACCATTGGCATTGACAAATTCGCTATTAGTCAATTGCAAAAGGCGGCCTTATTAGGAACTGCTTCCATCCTGCGACGATATCTGTAATACCATCAAACATCCACATCTGCCTATCCCAGGTCCTGGGTAAGGACTCGATAGGTAGACAAAATGCCAAATCCAGTCTGAACATCTGGCTGACTGTGCGATGATCGATAATAATAATAATAAAGTCTGAATAGTGGACGTGGCAGTGCCTGGAGACAGCAGAATAGAAGAGAAAGAACTGGAGAAGAT